CCGCTCCCGAGTTTTCATGCAGGAAAAGGCTCAGCAAGACAGCAACTAGCCTAGGCAATGTTGTCAAAAGAAAAGAAAAAAACTAGCCTATGGAAGTATGCAGAGGAAACAACGGTCAAACCCATCGGCCGTCGCTCCACGCAGGCAGAGCACCCTTTCGGCCTGGGCCCGCGCGCATGTCAGTGGACCGCACGCAGTGCATGTGTAGCTCCGGCTCAACAAGCTCGGCTCCTTGGAAGTGGAGGGGGAGCTCGTCGGACTAAGCCTAGACGTTCGGTTCTCGGTTAAAAAAAAAATCAGTTCTTAGAAAATAGGAACCAACCAGTTCTCAAAAATTCTGGGAACCCATCATTTTGATTTTTGATTATTTTGGTTCGGTTCCAGTTCTAACCGAACTAACCGAATTTTTTCAGAAGACCTCTAAACAACATTAAATATTCGTATTGTAAGGCAAATTTATATAACACTATATTATTTTTTAATAATAATAATTTATAAGAAAATAATATTAATATAGTAACACAAATATATAGTAGGTCAAATATAAAATACCACACACAAACCAAACATAATCTTACAAAATACAAGTAAGGGAAGTATAATTCATATAATTCGGTTACCCGAGTGTCCACAAAAGATGCCCGGCAGTCCTCCGAGGGGTATCCCACGAAGGTAGATTGATCGGTGGAGGTGCGCGTAATCAGGAACTGGATGGTGACACAAGACGCAGAGACAGCGATTTAGACAGGTTCGGGCCGTCTGATTGACGTAATACCCTACGTCCTGTGTTTTTGGTGTATTGTATTGATCTGAATGACCATGTAGATGTCGACTAGGGGACCTCTGCCTCTCCTCATATACTCTGGAGTGGTAGGGTTATAAAGAAAGTATTCTATTTGGTACTATACAATATCTTGTGGTGCACGTCGATCAATGCCGTGCACGCCTTGATCTTGTAGGCTGGGCCACCTCTGATGGTGCGGCCCATGTCTTGTCTTATGGGTACCGGGGGCCATACCCCCACAGCTAGTCCCCAAGCCTGACAGTAGGTGACGTAGTCACGTGGTGCCAGCGTCAGAAAGTAGAAAAAAGGCAGAAGACCGGCCGAGCAGGCAACCAGTCCACGGGCGGAGCCCTGAATTGAAAAGCGCACATTCACCGCAAGGTGAAGTGTGCCACTTAGTCCCCGAGGCTGCTGGAAGATGAAGAATGAATCTTATAGCAGGGTCAAAGAAAAAGAAGTCTGAAAGCTTGCCGACGTCATCTGATATGCACGTATCAAGACCCCAGACGTGCTGCCTAAGATCAGCACCGTGATCCGAATAGCAGAGCAGTTTGATAGCACACCGATGAGGCGTAGCAAGATCCGACCATCAAGGGAGTCCCCGGCGTAGCTGGCGATGCCGAGCACCGCCGAGGAGTCTCTGACGTAGCTGGCGATGTCCGAGCACCGAGGAGTCCCCAGCGTAGCTAGCGATGTCCGAGCACCGCCGAGTCTCCAACGTAGCTGGCGATGTCCACAAGGTGAAGTGGGGTGAAGTGTGCCCACTTAGTCCCCGAGCACGAAGAATCCGAGCGCCGAGAAGTAACCGACGTAGCTGGCGATGTCCGAGCACCGAGGAGTCCCCGGCGTATCTGGCGATGTCTGAGCACCGAGGAGCCTCCGGCGTAGCTGGCGATGAAGCACGAGCGACGAACAATCTGGTCAACTGATCGGCGGCGAAGTGAGTATTGAGTAGAAGTGACTAACGAACAGTCCGATCAGCTGGGCGGCGACGAAGTCCATGAACCTAGCGGTCCGACCAGTTGATCAGTGGAGAAGTCCGAGCACCAGGTGGTCCGATCACCTGGACGATGATCCTGCAATACAAATATGTAGAACGGGTAGTACATGATGTAAAAATATATGAACTCCGGAGAAAAATCAGCATTGACGATGAAATAGCATATGCAGCTCGACGATCAGTTGGTGTGAAGATGTATTTATATTTAATATAAACCGTCCGACTAGTTAGTGTGTAGCTGAGTCTCCAGCCCTAGCTAGCCCGTTAACCATAACGCGGAGCGCGGAGCCCGTGTGTAGGAAGAACAAAGCGTCGCTAAGGAGCCGCTGCCGACCACCCATAACACAGAGGGCAGACGCTCGTGCACGTGTAGGGAGGAGCCGGAGACAAGGCCGTCTCTGGAGACATCCGAACATCAACATGACTGTTCAGGGATTCAGAAAATCGTTTGGAGAGTAAACTTAGAGAAAATAGCTTGGAGAAACATTATGACGATATACAATGATCGAAGAATATTTAGAAGAATATTAAAGCATGACTTAGCTTGATTCATCGTGGCTGGGTGGAGGAGTCGGCGAGTCGTAGTATCCGAGGAGACAGATGTTGATGAAGTAAACCAGTCAGGATTCGTCCCTGACTGGGTCTTGATCGCATCGAATTCGTTCCCGAGCAGTTCTACGTTGAACCGAGTAGCTTGCACAGGAAAGCATCCAATTAGGTTGCCTGTTAATTACTTGCTTGCGTGGTCATGTAGATGTAAGTACGGGAAGTCCGCACGTGATGCATGTATATGCAAGTTGATCTCAGCCATCTCCTGGTTTGGCTTGCATGATGTCGTCTTCATGGTACTGTAGATTGCTTTTGTTCATAACGGATCATGATTGACTTGCATGCCTGACGTACGGCACAGGTAGATGCAGGTATAACGATTTGACCTTGCTTGTTTGTCGTGACAAGTTGCACACGTATGTGAAGCCGTAATATCCTGAATATCTTGGCTAGCTGTCCTGAGACGGCGAATTGCTCCCGTCGCGGTTGATCTTGAGATCCCATCTGGCCCCCATGGATCAATGCGCACGAGTCTCTGCGCATCAACTATCGACAAAAGATGCTCGACAGTCCTTCGAAGGGTATCCCACGAAAATAGATTGATCGGTGGAGGTGCGCGTAATCAGGAACAGAATGATGACACAAGGCGCAGAGACAACGATTTAGACAGTTTCGGATCGTCTGATCGACATAATACCCTACGTCCTGTGTCTTTGGTGTATTGTATTGAGATGAAATCTATGGAGATGACTCCTACCCCTCCTTATATGCTTTGGAGGAGTAGGGTTACAAGGAAAGCATACTATTTGGTACTATATAATATCTTACGGTACACGTCGACTAGTGTCGTGCACGCATTGATCTTGTGGGCGGGGCCACCTCTGATGGTGCGGCCCATGTCTTGTCTTGTGGATACCAACGGCCATACCCCACAGCTAGTCCCCGAGCCTGACAGTAGGTGACGTAGTCACGTGGTGCCAGCGTCAGAAAATAGAAGAAAGGTAGAAGACCGGCCGAGCAGGCAACCAGCCCACGGGCGGAGCCCTGAATTGAAAAGCGCACATTTACCGTAAGGTAAAGTGTGCCCACTTAGTCCCCGAGCCTGCTGGAGGATGAAGAATGAATTTTATAGCAGGGTCAAAGAAAAAGAAGTCTGAAAGCTTGCCGACGTCGTCTGACATGCGCGTATCAAGACTCTAGACGTGCTGTCCAAGATCAGCACCCTGATCCGAACAGCATGGAGCAGCTTGATAGCACACCGATGAGGCATAGTAAGATCCGACCATCGAGGGAGTCCTCGACGTAGCTGGCGACGTCCGAGCACTGAGGAGTCCCCGACGTAGCTGGCGATGTCCGCAAGGTGAAGTGGGATGAAGTGTACTTACTTAGTCTCCGAGCACGAAGAATCCAAGCGCCGAGGAGTAACCGACGTAGCTGGCGATGTCCGAGCACCGAGGAATCCCCGACGTATCTGGCGATGAAGCACGAGCGACGAACAATCTGGTCAACTGGTCGACGACGAAGTGAGCATTGAGGACTGAATTTTTTTCATTTATTTTGGTTTCCTCAGTATCAGAAACCGAATAAAGAACTGAAATTTTCGGTGTGGTTCTTTCGGTTTCGGTTATTTTGATTCAGTTTTTCGGTTGTCGGTTAAATTTGGCCAGGGCTACACACTGCGTCGTCTCTCTCCTTCGGTCCTTCCGATCCCCTCCCACTGCGCCGTTGCCGCCTGCCGCCTGCCGCCGCCGCTCCCATCGGACAACGACGAGCATGCAGCGGGTGCCTTATCTGCTCCTCCCATCTATCTCGTGCCTACCACCTCCTCTCTCGTCGCATTCGCCGCGCCCGCCCACTCAAACTCCCTCGCCCTGCCACACCACCGCTGCTTGCACCTGGGCCCCGCCCGCACGGCAGGCCACCACTTAGATGGAGCTCCAGATCTGCGACTCCACTATCTATTAGCTACCCTGGCGTCTGGATTGAGGCGTTTGGAAGGTAGGATGATTTCGTCACTGCTAAATGCTCCTTTTGTTTTCGTGCCCGTGCGGTGTGGTGCCGTATGATTTTTGCCTTTTCGTTTTATGCATTCGCACAGTTGGTTGGTATAATCCCTTCGTTTTACGAATTACGAACAACAACCATCGCTTACAATACATGGACCTAAACAGACACGCAGCTGTTTTGGAATGCCAGTGAGTAAAGCCCATCGAGGCTCTCATGTTTTTTAAGTGGGAAAATATTTCTATAGCTAAATGGAGCCAGGAAAAATATTTTCACAAGTTATAATTCCAAAAAAGGTTGCTAAACTTTCAGAAACAGAGTTCTGTAACATGTCTAATCAGATACAACCTTGGCACACCACAGATCTGTATTCTCTACCATAGTACCATGTCAGGGTATTTCATGCCTATTGTATTTTTAGATCTGTGGCAGAATTCAAATTTCAAATACGAATTAGTAACATGCCTATTCTATTTTTTTTTTATTGTGGAACAACACAAGTTCAAAATAGTGGCAATTTTGTTCCCTGGCATGTTTTCACTGTAAACATATAGATACTGTATGGATGGCCATTGCCATTTCAGGATGTCTTACATATTTGTAACCTTTTTTTCTGCATCAGATTTTAAGCAACAAACAGGAAAGAGTGAAGTATCGGAGAAGATGCCGCTGCGACCATTGGCAATGCGCCCTCGAAAGGACACCCTGCAAGCCAATGGTGTTGAAGGCCAGCAAGTCCTGTTCATGCAGCAACCTGCTCACACACAACACATTTTGCTGCCATCAGTCCAGTACCTGCCCAACCGAGCGGTTGCAACAACACAACAACAAATCCAAGCGGGTGGGTTATGGATTGGAGTCGCCCAGCCCAATGGCATGTATTTCCAACCAAACCAACCCATTGCTCAAGCCACGTTTCCTATCGGCGCAGCAGCCCCAAAATATGTTGGTCCTATGTACACCCAAGTTCAAACTACAAATCTAAACTATGCTCTTCTTGAAATGGATCATGCCACAACACTCTCTGCAAGGCCAAATTATGTGGTGCATCCTTCTCACTTTATCCCAAGCAATGATTTTAGGCTTGCCCCAGCGCGTGGTAGCATTTCAGGTATCTTCTATCCAAAATTCATCTGAACCACTTTTCCTTTTTTTTTCCTGTTGCTGCGTGGTGTTTTCATCAGCACAAAAGCTTATTATTTATGATTCAACCCGCTTTCATGCAGGAATCAATGGACATGGCTATATGCAGACCCTGATGAAGAATGTGTCCACCATCGCCAGACCATGTGCCTCAGTAGGTGCAGTGCTATTCAATGTTGCATCAGTGAATGCAACCGGGATGAGTTTTAATGGAATTAACATAGATACAGGTCTTACGGGTTCAGGGGACAACAGAGATAATATTGAGAACAAGTCGTTGGCTAATGGTGATCAAGGAAGCGTTTGTGGGCCTGATGATAAGTACAATGAAACTGATGATGACTCTGATCCCGAGTTTGACGATGAGGCGGATATCACAGAACACAGTGATTCAAGGAACGAGGATGACAGCGATGGCGATGGCGATGGCGAAGGTGATGCTGATTTTGCAGAATACATCGATCTAGATGATAATCAGGAGGAGTGTGCTGGGTGTGAAGATGATCTCGAAGAATACAATGGGGCAAAGGCTGAATCACATCAATACATGGCTGCATCTACTGAAGAGGATGAGGAAGATGACCTGCCTGCCACTCAAACAAACATTGTAGAAGGTATGGAAGACCCAGTAGTCAATCATTCGATGAATGGCTCAAATGAACTTCAATACGAGACTGTTGATGTCGTAGCAAATCAATGCTCCAAGAAGATGTATTTCCAATGCAAAGTTTCATATTCCATGCACTGCAATTGCTCCACTGATGAAAGTACCCAAAAATTCCATGCCAGCAATGTTTCTTTTCAACATCATTTGGCTGTGTGTATTGCATTATGCCGTTTATATTTTGGTTATAAGTCATCACCAACAGGTTTTTGTTTGTAGGAAAAGGTGGCCGAAAGGTGTAAAGCCACCGGAATCTAGACAGCCTCGGGACATTGGAGCAATTGAGAAGGCGATGAGGAACGCGCAGAACAGGGCCACACTTTAGCCACAACACACATATTTGAGCCAGTACTTGGCATGGTGTTTGATTCAAGGGCAGAGGCCTACCAGTTCTTTAACCTTTATTCATGGGAGGTTGTTCGGTATCCGCTTTGGTTCAAGCGCAAGGAATCGAGTAAACAAATACCGAACAATGCAGGAGCTAGTCTGTGAGAAAGAGGTAAACAACTGAAGGAGATATTAACCTCATTGCATTTGTAGTTTGTAAAGTTTTTTCTGCACTTTGAAATCTGTTGACAATGCGTGTCAATTTTTTTTCTTGAACGGCGCAAGAGAGCTGTGTGTCGTTTCATTAAGAAGAGAATAAAAACAACGGAGGAGAGGCTGATCCTGCTCCCTCAAGTAACCAATTGCATGACTCTTAGCGCCACACCCTATGAAAAATAGACGACCACTGCCCAAAAAACGCCAACAGATATAGGTAGCAACCTACTAAGAAGCTGTTGCAGAGCCTTAGCTCCAGCCAACACCACAACAAACACTCTTCAGAATACTGCAGCTAAAACTCTTTGAACACAAGGACTAGCATCCTCAAAGACACACGCATTCCTATGCTTCCACAACTCCCAAGCAACCAGAATGATGAGTGAATTCAATCCTTTTCTTATCTCTTTTGGAACAGCCTTGATTGTTTTGCACCACCAGCTAGAAAAACGAGAATCCTCTAGCTTTGGTGCAAGGGGAAGCAAACCCAACACATGAAAGATAGCTGTCCAAACCTGCCTTGCGAAAACACAAGCAACCAGGATATGTTGTATTGTTTCATCATATTGATCACATAGGGGACAAACAGATGGGTGAGGAAGTCCTCTTTTTGCAAGGCGGTCAGCTGTCCAACAGCAGCCGTTAATTGCCAACCAAATAAATAATTTGCAACGGTAGGGGCCCAAGATTTCCAAACCCGCTTCCAAGGTGCAAAAATGATGGTCCCAGTAAAAACACCCCGTAGGCAGATTTGCTCGAATAAGAACCAGACCCTGTAAGTCGCCACTGATGGTGATCGGGGATGTCCTGATGGAGGTTAAAATCATCAACCAAGTCCCAGATTTGCAGATACACCACCAGGACCTCTACTGTTAGAGCCCCCTTGATGTCCGACACCCATATTCTGTTATGCAAAGCTTGACCCAGCATTTGTTGCTTCACTGCTCTCTTGGGAATGATCTGAATCAGGCTGGGAGCATAATCAGCTATTGTCTTTCCATGGAGCCAACGGTCCGACCAGAACTTGGTTGAAGCACCATTGCTCACCATGGTTTGCACAGCAACTTTAAGTAAGTCCTGAGCATCGCATGGCATCTGAACTGGCAGTCCAGCCCAAAGACGTTCCTTGTCAATCTTCTGTGCCCACAGCCACCTTATACGAAGAGACCAACCCAGAACTTCAATATTATGGATACCTAACCCACCATAACGAATAGGCTGCTGAACTTTCTCCCATGAAACTAAACAGTTGCCTCCACTAGCCTTCTCTTGACCTTTCCACAGAAAGCCACGTCTTCTCTTGTCAAGGGCCATTATCACCCATTTTGGTAATTCCTTGGCAATCGTAAGATAGATTGGTATAGCAGTGAGCATACAGCATAGCCTTTACGGTGATCAAACGACCGGCTCGGTTTGCAAGGGACGCCTTCCAATTAGGGAGCCCTGTGAAAAGTGTTGTTCGGCAGAAAATAGGACCTTCTTAACTCGTTACAACTTATGTGAGTTACTGTTGAAAATAAAAGCAGCACATTGGATGTTTCGCTCATATATGTTGTAATTGTGTCTAAGCTGAAACCTTTTAGTATTCAAAAGGGCTTGCTTTGTAGCCAACTAGAGGTTGCTTCTTTGCTTTTCTTTCGATATCTCATCGATCAGAGGGGTTTATCCTAACTGGCTTCTAAATGTATTTCCCTCCGAGGGCCTGGTCGATTCAGCGTTGGATCTTGAAATGCAATTCGCGATTGATAAGAAACATGCCCTTCCCCGATACAAGTCTAAATCGTTGTCAAGTACTGGATTCCTTCCTGGTTGTCCTTACTTACTATATGTGCTATCTGGGAATTCCTCCCAAGCTCTATAACTAGAATATTCATTTATGGAGTTGCCTTTGCCAAGAAAGTTTCCTTTCTTCGATGAACCCCGTTCGTGATACGATACTTTCTTTTTCGTGATGGGTACAGGGACATGATAATTTACCCTTTAGACTTGTGTTAGTATGTACCGTATCCATGGACTTTGGGCTATGGTACATCCATGTATGTATCCTTGGACAATAGGCACCTATGGTTGGTTAGCTTATGTTATGATGCTGCAGTAGAAAATAAATACTTCCTGCTGCAGCAAAACATCAGGAGAATGCAGCAGATTATCTTACAATAAGCACCAGGAGGTGGCTGCTTTTTTGTTCTTTTAGACAAAGAAAAAAACATGCTTCTTGTTCAGGGCTTTGCAGATGCTTAATTGCTGATTCTGCACTTGTCCCAGTGTTCAAATGCACACAGAAGTTAAAAACACAAACTAATCGCCTAACTTCTTATCCATTTTCCATGAAGTTAGTTTTCTCATATGTAGTAGACATCTCTCAGGCCTGTCTCAATAGGGTTGTTCAAAAAATGTAATTACCTTCTAGACTGGAATTGTAGAGCCCCCTGTGTTCTTAACACATTCGGAAAAACACCTTCTCCCCTGAGATGCTATGTATCCTCTCATGTTCTGTATAATTGTGCAAACTCATATGTGGAGATGAAGATGCTTTTTTACTTGTGCTATATTTTACATGCAGCAATAGCTCCAAAACGCCGGAAGTGAATTCACTTTTATTGTATCATCTCGATGTAATAACGGTGAATTAATAAAATCCTTCCTTTATCAAGAAAAAAAGGCAATGGCTCCAAAATTTGCAGGTTTTTCATGCAGCATATAAAAAAAACACACATATTGCAAATAAAGCCATTAGCATAGCTCCAAATTTTGTAAATTTTATTCCTGCATGAAACCTTAGGTGCAGCTGTTTTTTATCGCTGGATCCTGGCATTGATATTGTCAATTTTTGTTGATAAGGGTTTGACCCACGATGTACAAGCAGTTCGAAGAGAGAGAGGTGCAAGGCTAAGCTACGCCTCCACCGCACCGAGGACCATGGGTGGTATGTCAGTCTACATGTTGCTGACCATAACCATCCATTCTCTGTTTTTGCAGCGAGAATTGGTTATGGAATTCTCACAGCAAGATCGAACAGTGCACCAAGGACATGATCCGTTACTTGAGAGAAAACAACGTCACTATCAGCCGGGGGCATTGCATCATGGGAAGCCTGTATGGCAGCTTGGATGGTGTTCCATTTAATCAGAAAACTCTGTGGTCTGTCTGCGCTGAGATCGCAAGGGACCAGAAGGATGATGATGTTATGAAAACACTTTGGGTTTTCAGGCAGATGCGTGCAGAGGACCCTGGGTTTCAGTTTAGTGTTGATTTTGATGAAGATAAAAGGATTAAAACCCTGCTGTGGACAAGTGGTAAAAGTAGAAGCCAATGGAGCCACTTTGGAGGAGATGTGGTTACTTTTGATACCACATACTGTACAAATCTGTACAAGATGCCTTTTGGAATTTTTGTGGGTGTCAACAATCATTTCCAGAGTGTATTGTTTGCTGGCGTGCTTATGCGGGACGAAACTGCAAGCAGCTTCAAGTGGGTTTTCTACGAGTTTCTCACACTGACGGGTGGCAAGGCTCCAATGACTATATTTACAGGTGAGGTTTTAGGTATATGTAAAATCACAGTGCTTATTCACATGCTCTAGTGATAACTTTTTGCATGTATTTTTAATCATTTGTTCTAACTGCTTTGTCTGGCTCCAGATCAATGCAAGGCCATGCATAACGCAATCAGGTCAGTGTTCCCTGGTATTACACATCTATGGTGTAAATGGCAGATATTGAAGGATGCACCAGTAGAACTGGGTACACTATACAGAAGAAACTCTCCATTCAGGAGAGATTTTGACTACATTATCAATGAAATGCTAACCGAGGATGAATTTGAGAGGGCATGGGCTGATTTGTTGGATCGCTACAAACTGCAAGAACACCCTTTCATGATCAAGACATACAACAAGAGGAAGATGTGGGCGAAGCCATGGGCAAAAGACAAATTCTGTGCTCGAATGGCTAGCACTCAGAGATCTGAGAGTGCAAACAGCATGCTAAAAAAGTTTGTCCCAAGAAATTCTTCAATGAATAGATTTGTTGAGCAGTACAGGAAATTATTGTTCATATGTGATAGTGCGGAACACAAGGCAGAGCACCAGACAAAGCAGGTAATTGGTTGGTATTATTAGTTCTTCTATCCATTTCAAATCTGTGTTATTGTTCATTTTAGTGGAAAACCTTGAATCCTGTTTGGCCGTGAAATCTTTCGCCACATGAGTAATGATTAAAATTGTGTTTCAGCAAACAAAAAAAACACTGGTTGAGAACTCGGCAGGTCTGGACAATGATTTCCCAGGAAATCTCCTTGGCAGCACTAGCACCTCCAGTCACTGGCTCACCGCATCTTGCTTCAGGTCCTGGGGTAACACTGCTAGGTTTGATCCCAACGAGAGGCGCAAAGTGCTGAATCCCCTTATCATCTTGGTGGCATGGGAAGTTTGGAAACATAGGAATGCCTGCATTTTTTACCATGATTTTTTTTTTTTTTTTTTGGGGGTATAAGAAAATGGGGGAACCAGATGACCTTTCTGGTCTCTGGACTGCATGTTATATATTCAGGGAAACGCCTCCTCACGGGCTTGGATTACATCACGGTAGTTACACAACAACCTCATGTGTCTATCCTAACAACCTCTAATAATCTCTCCCTATACATATGCTGTACACCGCATGACTCGGTTGTCTAGGATAACTATGATGCATATCATCTAACACTCCCCCTCAATCTTAGCCACTAAGAAGGTTAAGATTGGTTCTGAACTGTTGAAGCTTGGCAGCAGGAATAGCCTTGGTGAAACCGTCAGCAAGTTGATCACCTGAGTTGATGAATCTGATCTCCAACAGTTTTGCAGCCACTCGCTCCCTAACAAAATGGAAGTCGATCTCGATATGCTTAGTCCGGGCATGGAAGACGGGGTTTGCAGAGAGATACTTAGCTCCCAAATTGTCACACCAAAGGCGTGCAACTGAAGGACACCGAATCTACAGTTCTTTCAGCAATTTCTGAACCCACATAATTTCGGCAGTTGCATTAGCCAGCGCTTTGTACTCCGCCTCAGTACTTGATCTAGAAACAGTAGCTTGTTTCCGAGCCATCCATGAGATCAAGTTGCTGCCCAGAAACACTTACAAAAGCCACCAAAGGAACAGCGGTCATCAACACACCCCGCCCGGTCGATCTCGAGAAAGCACTAACAAGCATAGAACTCAACTTCTTGATTTTGAGCCCCAAACTAATCGCGTACCACGCACATAGCGTAATATTCGCTTGACTGCACTCCAATGAACAGTTGTAGGAGCATGAAGATACTGACACACTTTGTTGACAGAGAAGGATAGATCAGGCCATGTTAGCGTCAGGTATTGAAGAGCTCCAACAACGCTTCTATAGCGAGTGGCATCTTCAGGGCTAAGTGGATCTCCAGCAGTAAGACTGAGCTTCTCCGAGACGCATAATGGCGTGTCAACTGGCTTTGCACGGTCCATACCAGACCTGGATAGAACATCAGTGGCATAGCGCTCTTGAGACAACAGCAAGCCATCACCAACTCTTTTAACTTCGATGCCGAGGAAGAAGTGAAGATCGCCCAAGTCTTTCAGAGCAAACTCGACTTGGAGATCTTTAAGTAGAGCTCATGATGGCCGATGAAGAGGAACTTGCCACAATGATGTCATCAACATATACCAAGACAAACATGGTGTATGAGCCCTTGTTATAATAGAACAAAGAGGTATCTGCTCGTGAGGGAACAAAGCCAAGTGCTTGCAGCTTATTGCAGAGTCGAGCGTACCAAGCCCGTGGAGCTTGTTTCAAGCCATAAAGTGCTTTATCCAACTTGCATACATAGCTAGGATGGGCCTTGTCAGCATACCCGGGAGGTTGGTGCATGTAGACCTCTTCTTCAAGAAAGCCATGAAGAAACGCATTTTGAACATCAAGTCGACGTAACGACCATCCCTTTGTCACAAATGCCCACGGATAGAATCGTGACGGATAGTGGCTGATTTGACAACCGGGCTAAAAGTTTCTCCATAGTCAATGCCATAACGCTTGTTTTGAAGCCCTTAGCAACAAGTCGTGCCCTTGTAGCGGTCAATTGTGCCATCGACCTTGCGTTTGAGCTTGTAAACCCACTTACGTACCAACAATATTCTTGCCCTTCTGGACAAGGCACAAGATGCCGGTTTGATTCTTGATCAAGGCTTGATACTCATTGTCCATTGCCGCACTCAATTTGCGATCATTAAGAGCGCATCAAGGGTGGAAGGTTCCTCTGCGAGCAGGTAGCAAGCATGCCCCAACGCACCGTGCCATCGCGAACTGCTTGGTGGGCGAATACCACGTTGAAGTCGAGTGGCGGCGATCGAGCATCGGTGCGATGAAGAAGCAGCATTGCCGAGGACGAAGGAGAGCCACGTAGCAGCGGCCGCAGAAGATCCCGCGAGGATCTGTCTGATAGCCTCGTGGAGTAGGCGATGGCGAGGTGTCGGCGACGGTCCCAGCGCCACGGATCTCGCTATGGAGCATCGAGCCCGGCGGGTGAGGGTGGCATGGGATTTGGCGTGAAGACCCAGCGCCCGCCGAGGGAATCCCAGTGGCCCCGTGTGACGCCTCCACGTGGTCGGGACGGACCACCGTACTGCCACCAGAGTCCGCGCCGGATCCCGAGTGTGAGGCGCCGACGCCAGCAGTGCCGTCAGGCGGATCGACCTCGGATCGCGCGCTGTGCCCCGACGGGGAACACATGAAATAGCGCGTGCCAAGCTCCGTTTGCACCGCATTTTCGCCGCCAATTGTACCTATGTCAACACCAGAGACAGGAGAACTTGCCGAGGCATTAGCAGTGTTAGGAGATACACCCTGCAGATCAAGTAATTGTGAATCCCCGAGGCTAGTAGAGTTGGTTAAAAGGACATCAGGTAGTAGCTCAAGTTCCTTTCTAAGACGAGCACCAGCGTTGGGGTGGAGGGACGCAAAGGGGAAAACTTGTTCATCAAAGATGACATCTCGAGATACATATACACGCCCTTGTTTTGGATCTAGACACTTGTATCCCTTGTGAAGTGTGCTATACCCAAGAAATACGCACTGTTTAGAACGAAACTCAAGTTTCCGAGTATTATAAGGGCGAAGATTAGGCCATACTGCACAACCAAAAACGCGAAGATGGCTATAATCTGGAGTCTCACCAAACAAGCGCTCAAACGGAGTATCATCATTGAGAACCTTAGAAGGTAACCTATTAATGAGATAGACAGCGGTCAAGAAGGCTTCATCCCAAAATTTGAGAGGAAGAGAGCCATGGGCAAGCAGGGAAAGACCGACTTCTACAATATGGCGGTGTTTTCGCTCGGTAGAGCCATTTTGCTGGTGTGCATGAGGGCAAGAGACGTGATGGGCGATGCCAATTTTATTAAAGAAGGAATTAAGCGCTTGGTACTCGCCACCCCAATCAGATTGAACCGCAAGAATTTTGCGTCCAAACTGGCGCTCTACAAGGGTTTGGAACGTATGAAAGCATTTGAATACCTCAGATTTATGACGAATTAAGTAAATCCAAGTGAACTTGCTATAATCATCAATGAAGGAAACATAATATTCAAAACGTCCAACAGATGTGGGAGCACGACCCCAAACATCAGAGAAAATAAGATCCAGAGGACCCTTGGACCCACTAACAGACTTGGGATAAGGCAATTGATGACTTTTGCCTTGTTGACATGCATCACAAATTCGCTGGTTATTGGAATCAAGAACAAAAGGGAGTCTATGCCGATCTAAGACGTGCTTGACGACCCGAGATGAGGCATGGCCGAGGCGGTGATGCCACAGGGAGGTGGAAGGCTTGACGGCAGTGTAGACTTGTTTATTGGAAAATGAAAATGACGGCGAGGTGGATGATGCATGCAACGGATAGAGCCCTCCTTCACATCGGCCTTTGTGGAGAGTTTTCATCGTCCCCTGTTCCTTGATCAAAAAATGATCGGGGTGAAACTCAAGATAAACATGATTATCTCTAGCAAGTTGATTTACTGAACAAAGGCTCTTATTTGCTTGTGGAACGTGGAGAACATTATTTAGATGAAAAACTCTACTAGGGGAAGACACAGTACTATGACCGACATGTGTAATCTCCATACCTGCACCGTCCGCGGCGTGAACATTGTCGCCGCCGTGGTACTTGTTGCGGGTGGTGAGGCGCTCCAGTTCGCCGGTGATGTGGTCGGTGGCACCACTGTCCACATACCAGTTCGATATCACGCCTGCATTTGAACCGGACGTGGCGAGGAGACGCTCTTACGAGGTGGCCCGCTGTAGTTGTTGTCGAAGCGCTTGCGGCGTAGCGTGTACGCCGGTGCCCTTCCTTGCCGCAGATTTGGCGAAGACCCCGGCCGGAAGTTGCGGCCATGGCCGTTCCCGCCGCCGCCATTGTTGTTGCCACGGCCACGGCCTCCCCTCCCCGCGACCGGGCCACCGCGATTGCCACCGTCGCGGCTGCTGCGCGATTGTTGGAGAGAGCCCCACCACCGCGGTTGCCCTTGGTGGCGGCGTGGCGCGGAAACTGGTGCTTGCCGCCAGAGTTTGATTCCTTCTTGCGCTGCTCGTGCGCGATCAGCTGAGCATAAAGCTCGAACGGTGATGGGCTCGACCACGCTGGCAACAGCAGTAATGATAGATTCAAATTCCTCACCAAGGCCCGTGAGGATGTAGGTGACGAGATCCTCGTCTTCCAGACTTCTTGCCCGCCCGACGCCATGTCGCCGGGAGGCCCTTCATCTTGGTGTAGTAGTCGGCGACGACGATGTGCCCTTGGACGCCGTGGCCAACGCCATCCGGTGGAGATGATGCGGCACGAGAGGCGGGAGGCATGTTTGGGCATGGATCGCAGCCCACAGCTCGGCCGCGGTGGTTGCGAGCGACACTTGCGCCAAGATTTCCTTCGATAAGGACGAGAAGAGGTAGCTAAGGACCCGTTGGTCCTGAATCATCCACGCCCGGTAGGCGGGGTTGGGCACCGGTCGCCCTTCTTGCCGGTCGCATCGACGGCGCCATCGATGAGCGCCAAGGTGGAGTGGAGCGCCGGTCTTGATGTAGTCCCCATCTGCGCGCCCTTGATGGTGGAGGAGACTTCATGGCGTGCCACATATTGTAGTTGGCACGAGTCAACTTCTCGAGACGGCAGGCGGCAGGAAGCCAAAGCGAAGGCCGGCATGGCAGCGGAGGAGGAAGAGCCGGCGGCCATGAGGATCAGTTCCGGGAGGAACGAAAAAAGCTCGATACCATATAAGAAAATGGGGGAACCAGATGACCTTTCTGGTCTCTGGACTGCATGTTATATATTCAGGGAAACGCCTCCTCACGGGCTTGGATTACATCACGGTAGTTACACAACAACCTCATGTGTCTATCCTAACAACCTCTAATAATCTCTCCCTATACATATGCTGTACACCGCATGACTCGGTTGTCTAGGATAACTATGATGCATATCATCTAACGGGGGGGTATTTTACTGATACACTCCTTACCTTTTCTACATTTTCTCTAAAGCCTTGGGTGTCTGCTATCATACAGGTGTTGATCGAAAGCGGAGTTTCAAAAATCCCTATGGCGCACATATTGAAGCGCTGGACTTGGGAAGCGAGGGATTTTGGTTACCAAGATATCGGTGCAGACACTAATGATGCTTCTGTCACAGATGAACACCGACACAGTCTGCTGCATGTTAATGCTCTGGAGGTTGTTGGCAGAGCCAAGAATGACAGGCAAATCCATGACATTGCAGCACGACACTTGAAAAGTGCAATGACAGAGATTGAGCGCCTAGTTGACTGGAGAAGTAACCAACCAGGGTACTCTTCACCTACAGACAATGGGTCTGATTCTGCATCAGATGCTGAAGCAGTGATTGGCAACTCATATGGTGCTGCTGGTATAAGCGCTCGTATGAGCGACGCAGAGATAGAAAACATGCGAGCACCAGCAGTCTGTCTGCCCCAAGGACGTTCAATATGCAATAAGAAACCATCTGCGCTTGATAAGGAAGGGCACAAAGGAAAAAGGGTCCCAATCTGAATCATTGTCAGTCTGTGAACGCTGCCAGGAGGAAGGGCATACTGTCAAGTCATGCCAGCTTAGGCCGAAAACTCAGGAGAAGGCAAAGTCGTTTCTCGATGGGAAAAAGAGAGATCAGATTGATTGGAGTGGGCTAATTTGTCCGGCAGGGCCATTAATTAGTCATCTGATTCCCATAACAATCTATGCTCCCCAAGTTATCTTCATGTAGTATTTAAGTGTTGCCTCAGTTACCATCCAGGTGACGGGCTTGACGGCCATTCTTTTTGTGTAGGGTCGTAGTTCTGCAGCCTACATGTATCTGTATGTTGACTGAGCATCTTTCTGTTTTGCTGGGCAGGAAACTACTTAGCCATCTTAACTACCCCAAAATATGCTCACCAAGTCAAAAAAAGATTTCGTATTTAAGTGTTGCATTATTAGTTATCATCCCGCTGCAAAAACATTTCAAGCGGTTGATTGGCAGATCAAGAAATCACCGCCATGAGCGAGTCGGAGCCCTTGTGGTTTGCTTCCCCTCCAGAGTCGACGCAAACCTTTTTAGAAGAAACGAGCCACGTTGATGGCCATCCGAACCGACTTCGCACACTGGCCGGTATGATGTTGCGCGTCTTGTGTAGGGCTGAAGCTGTGTCGAGGGTCAAGACGTCACAGCTCACACATGCAGCAAAATGGCCAAAAGCAACCACAGCAACGGTTCCAGGTCAAACACACAGCATGAGGAACGTTCACACGCTTAAGGGGGTGTTTGGTACAGCTAGGAGCTCCTAAATGTAGTCCCATTTAGTTCAATTTATTTACTTTTTACCTAAACAATATGACTAAATGGGATTAAAAGAGCTTTAGTCCTCTCTAACCACTCTGAAGTGACTAAATGAGACTAGACCATTTAGGAGAGACTGAATTTAGCAGCTGCAATCCAAACTGGGCCTAAGCAAACGATTCTGGACTTTGGAGGCCATGGTTCATGGTTGACAAGGAGCAGTTTGAAGGGCCGCCCCACGTGTAAAGATCTCAACTAATGCCAGAACTGCTTTTGTGTGCAGAGCAGCCAAACACAAATGTCTGATGCCCCTGCTGAGAGACCTCTAGTTAATTCAGGCTAGCTAGTTTCCGGGAAAGACAAAGACGAGCATTTCGTGGTCAATTCAGGCTAGCCACGACGGCCATGCGAGAGAGATTTCTTACCATATCGATCTTGAAGCAGCGGTGATTTTCGCGGAGTTTCCGTGCAGGAAAAGGCTCAGCAACTACATACATACCGCCGTGAACTTGACCGTCTCGGTGGCGGTGTGTACTGTCAACAGCTACTCAGGATCTGAGATAGTGCACGTACCGAGTCTACCTACGACGCCCACACGGCCACAATGCCACCGGCGACGGCATCGCGCGCATCACCGCACCTGTTTCGTTCGATCCACGGTAGCAGACACGTACGGTGCTCCTTCCTGATGAAGAGGCATATATAGCCGTCGCACCATCGCAGTCCACACGCATTGCAAGCTCGATCAAACATTCAAACTCGCGAGTTGGCACGCACGCACGCCGCACTACAGGCATGCACAAGATGATGAGGCGCCCTGCGGCCATGTACGCTGTGCTCCCGCTGCTCGTCGTTCTCGCTGTCTCCCTCCTCTTTCAGGTCTCCGACTGCTCAAGGCCGTCTCCGGAGGAGCCGCGGACCATTCCGCGTCCAGTCCTTCGCGACGACGAGCCGCACGTCCAGCGGCACCACCGCGACAACGCCGACGGGACCGGTACCACCCGACCCGCCGGTCTGGAGATGGAGGGCGCCGTCGCCGTGGAGAAGCCGATCCGCGCCGCCGCCGACGACAGTGGAGCGGGTCCGTCAGCAACGACGACCACGACGCCACCCGCGCGCGACGTGGTCGGCCGCCAGGTTGGCTCTGGGTCCACCAACTGGGGTGGCGCTCTAACGATGATGAGGCCGCCGGTGCGGCTGCGTTCCGAGCTGCCGCGGCGGGTTCTGGCAGGGGTACCGCCGGTGGTGGAGGGCGCGGCAGACTCGGAGGCCAAGTCGTCGTGTCACTCAAGCGATGTCCACGTCAGCTGCCCGCCGTCGCGCAACTGAATCACTGGACTGGACGTGGAAGCATATTGCATGGCCGGGGCGGGCCGGGGCATCGGTGGCCAGGCACGTGCATATTTCACGATTGTCTCCCCGGGCCAATTTCACGCGTTCGTTCGTGATCGTTCGGCGTGGAGTCGTGAACAGTTTCTGTCCCACTTTACTGCTGTGAGCAGCTGTTTTGCCCCTATTTATTTATTTGTTTGTTTTTTTTTCTCGAATACGCACGAGTGTGCATCTCTACCCCTATAATACACCACTTCAAATTATCCTACAGCCACCAAACAAATCACACCTCTACAAATACGGTAAACTACGCCCACCCCACAAAAACGCACACATCGGCTTCTGCTTTGATAACATTAAAAGCGTCGCACCAAATTAACTCTCACCCATTCTCTCTCCTTACTCAACCACGTCCGACGGCCGATATTCTTTGGATCTCCCACACCCATCTCCCCACTTCACCGCTCCACCCCACCCACGCGCACAGACGTCGGTGCCTTCTCTTGCTTTTTCGTTCCCCCCCTCAACCAGAAGAAGCCCGACGCCCTCGCCGCTGCCACCAAAATCGGATGCGAGCCCAAGAGATCCCCAACCCTACCTACCATGCCTTGCCGCCCTGTGCACTCTCGATCCTCGAATCGAGCAGGTTGACGGAGGAAGAAGGGAGCCTCGAGATGTTCCGCAAATGATCTATGGCGACACCGGCGTGACCACATGGAGCCCCTAAAGGCTAATTTGTTCTGTGGAGTACGCCATGGAGGCCGTCAGCGAGGATCCGCCCTACGTCGGGCTCTGCTCCGCACCCACGCCGTCCTCGCCGCCAAATCAACAAGCCCGCCTCAAGCTCTCCTCCTACCAGCGGAAGGTGTTCGCGTCGCCGAGCACGCCGGGTCACGCTTCGCCCGGCCTCACCTCCGACGGACGCGTCCTCTCGCTTCGCTTCCTCCGCAACGAGTGCATCAACCACTCCTTCGCTCGACTCAGGCGCCGCTCCCCATCTCTAGGCTCGCGCTCAAGCTCGCCGACAAGGCGTGAGTCCAGTCGTCTCTCTTTCAGCATCTCGGACTCTCCTTCCCTCCCCTCCCGTGATCCCGATCTCTCTCTTACGAGCCAGCCAGCGAGTGGAACATTAGAATTCCCATGGTTTGAGTCATTTGACGAGTCGATTTGTGCTTTAGTTCGGTGATTGTTTGTCCGATCTGCGATTGAGTCCGGCCGTTTAGGGTGTTCTCATTGATGCGATGCGATTTATTAGAATTTTACGGTAATATATAGTTTTCCTACTGGCTTGCCCTTAGTCCGCACTATTATGCTGAAGGTCTCCGTCCTCCACAAGTCTGAAGTCTGAACTTCTCTCTCCTAATCTTCACCTGATGTAGTTGACATGTTATTCTGATTGTAGTTGATAAGAACCGATGTTCTACTGTCCGAGAGCAAAACTAATACTTTCTTTCTATCAGCTCAGCCCCACAGATACAACTACCACCTTCTTTGTCAACGATAACTGAACAAGGACAAATCTCAGTTCGAGAAACAATGCTTAGTTGCTTACTCATGTTTCACATTCAAGTCTCCCTACTGTTGTTGCACCTACAAAGGTAACTGTTCGTATTTGTTTAGTTAATTTTTTTTGTGTGTATAAAGAGATCTTGTAAATGATTGCCAAATCAAGCACAAACACCCTGGCCCCTCAAGTATGCTGCTCTCATTATCTTCATACTTCCAGTAAAACTGCTATCATGTCATGGAAATTGTAGTGTTCTAGCTAACAATGAATCCAAAATATATATTCTTCAAATCCAAAATAGACACTTGGTAAGGATAAACACAAACTTTCTTTTAGTGTACTTTGCTTTATACAACATTTTAGTACTATACGAAAATTTAGTAGCTAACCACTGCAATTTAATGTGGGCGCTATGCTATTATAATGATGTTTTACACCATATTTTTGAGCTTATTCCAATGGAAGTCCATGATTGGAAAAACTGTACGAAGTCTTTAAAAAACGGATTTGAAGTCTGGTATGGGGATGTGAGAAGTAGGAGAGAAATATGAAGATGTTGTAAGGAGACGGACTCTGATGATGATAACGCAAGCTGAACATACATGATTCGATCAGAGCTCAGCGAGTTGTTTGGCGTGGGATATGGAGATGTTAGCTCTTAACTTTACAAATGTTTATGTACTTCATACACTTGAGTTTTTAATGACATGTAGCCTATTGTATAGCAGCTTTAGAGCTTTGGAGTATGAGTCAAAATGAGGAGGAATGAAATTATGTTCGTTACAATAGAATACGATGATATTGTAATTTTATTATAGACACACATTCTCTTTTTTTTATATACTTTTGAAAAATGTGATTTTATAAATAATAAAAAAATTATTTGATTTAAAATTATGTGTAATATGTTACCGTGTAAAACCAAAAAGGCGTGAGTGCCAAAGGTCAACATGTTCTATTTAAAGCTCGAAGGAATGAATAGAAAAATACAAATTATTTTTTTGTGTGTGTCAAAAATCACTTATTTTCAATTACTACTCCCAAGCAAGAAGCATCTCTATTGTCTTTGTTTGTAGATATACTCCGACGATCTGTAGAATTTGGTGTGGTCACTGGTGGTTGTGTGTGGTATAATGCCCCATCAGATCCTGTGAAGCTTCTGATGCAGGACACAAGAGTACTCATGAATTTTCTTTTTTCTCCCTTGGAGACTTGGTTTACAGACTAAATCATTGAATTGGAGATTGCAGCATGACTACTGCAATTATATTGAACTATGGAAAAAACATTTATTGTTTTCATATACGTCTTCAAGATAAATCCGTTACGTTAGCACGGGCATTATACTAGTATAATAAGATGAAGAGTTTATAATACAAGAATGCCGTTGCCAGCCGTTAGTTTTCTCAAAGTGCTACATTTTGAAGTTAACCGTCCTTTACTTCAAGCTAGAGCGCTCCGTCGCTAGGTCTGCGCCAAGGCTGCTAGTCCCCTTGCTCCAGCCTTGATCCATCGATCGGCTTCCGCTTTGATGAGCTGCAGTAGGTCGTTGACGCTTGATGTCGACTCTCTGAAGCACCTTGCGTTGCACTCCTTCCAGATTTGCCAAGAGACAAGGACGAACAGGGAGTCAAGGCCTGATCGGCGGTCGCCATCGAAGAGAGAGCATAGTCGCCGCCACCAGCGCAGTGTTGTAGCAGCTGGCTGTGGTAGCTGTCGACCGAGGGCATTTAGGATGTAGAACCAGACTTCTCTTGAGAGTGGGCAGACCGACAGGATGTGGTCGATGGTCTCTTGGCCTTGGTCATAGAGATAGCAGAGTTCCCAAGCCTTTAGGCCATGCCTTACCCTCCTGTCCCCGGTCCAATGGCGTCGTTTGAACGCGAGCCAGAGGAATATCTTCACTCTTAGCGACGCCCATGTCTTCCAAATGAGTCTATGGCCGAGGAATGGCGTGGACCCGACGTGCAGCATTCTGTAAGCTGATTTTACCGAGTAGTTCCCATCTGGTGTCCAACGCCAGATGATCCGGGCTGGTCTTTCGTCGAGCTGGGTGTTGTCCACCATGTGCCAAAGGTGCAGGTAGTCCATGATCGCCGGAATTGACAGGCCTCCAGCTATGCAGCGTGCCCAGTTCCGGTTGTTCAGCCCGTCTCTGACGGTTTGCATTTTGCGAACACGCCTGGGCACCATTTGGTAAACATATGGCGCTATGTCGCTGACAGATTCACCACCAATCCATCGGTCCTCCCAGAACAGCATTCGGCGGCCATCTCCAACCAGGGTGTAGGTCGACGCTTTGAAGAAGGCTTGGACTTGTGGAGTGGTTTTGATTGGTCACTGACTCCAAGCCCGATCTTGGTTCGACTGCTGCAGCCATAACCATCTCGTCTGTAGCGCATATCCTGCCAGCTTCAAGTCGCTGACCCCCAGTCCGCCAAGGTTTGTCGGTCTGCAAACAGTAGGCCATGCGACCATGCATTTGCCCTGGATTGATCGATCATTGCCGGCTCAAAAGAATTTCCGACAGATGGCATCAATCTCTTTTCTCGCCCATGCCGGTAAGTTTCTGCCATCATAGCATAGACGGGCACGGCGCGAAGGATTGACTTTATCCAGACAAGTCTTCTGCTTCTTGCCATCAGAGCGCTGTGGCACGGAGGCATTTTCCGCGCGACACCCTCCACCAGAGATTGGAAGTGAGACTTCGGGATGGCTCTCGTGCTCAATGGAAGGCCCAAGTATTTGATAGGAAAGGGTTGAACCTGGCAGCCTAGGATGGAGACTATGTCCTCTAAGGCATCCTCACCGCCATAGATCGGTGTGATAGAACACTTCGCCAGGTTGGTGTGCAACCCTGATGCCGCCCCGAAGATGTTCAGTATTTCCTTGACACTGTAGCTTCTTGTGCCGTTGGTCTTATGAATAGGATGACATCGTCAGCATAAAGGCTGCATTGGAACTTGACTCCATCGGGCTTCATCTTTCTTAAAACCCCATGTCTGGTCGCCTTGAGAAAGAGTCAGTGTAGCACATCCATAGCGATTATGAAGAGCATGGGCGATAGTGAATCTCCCTGGCGTACGCCCCTGAGGTACTTGATTGGTGGCCCTTGGTGCCCATTAAGTATGATCCTGGAAGATGATGTGCTCAGCAAGGACTCAATCCAACCGCGCCATATTGCTCCGAATCCGCATGCTTGGAGGACCTCCATCAGGAATGGCCAAGAGAGGGTGTCAAATGCCTTGGAGATATCTAGTTTCAGTAATAGCATCAGCACTTTCTTTCTCCGAATGAGGAATGCCGCTCTCTGAACATACTTGTAGTTGTCGTGTATGGAGCGCATCCTGATGAACGCGTTCTGATTGCGGTCTACTATTTCATCCAGTCTTGGTGCCAAACGAAGTGCAAGTATCTTCGATATGAGTTTGGCAAAGCTGTGGATCATGGTTATGGGTCTAAAGTCCGCCGGGGTGTTGGCGCCGACCTT